CTTCAATTTTTTTAGAGGAACAACACAAATGTAATATATTTTTCTTCATGTTTTGATTTGGAATAGAATGTGTAGTGTTCCCAATGCATTTGTGTGTATGGAAATAAAAGCGATTAGAAGGATTTTGAGCTTTATTCACTTTTTTCAACACACTGCTATTATTTTGAACACAACTGTATATATATACAGTATATATGTAAATATTAACTTTTTTATCTAAGTAACAGCAACACTATTCGAAATAATGCATGTGTAAACCTTTACAATGAGTTTTTCAAAATCACACAATATTTAAAGTGTTTTCTTAGTTCAACAAATGCAAAAGAATACCTGTGGATTCTGCCAGAAATCCATTGCCATCCTGTGTACTCTTCCATTTTCCTGTCCAGGTTACCTCCATGAGCTACAGAACATCTGGGGATAAGGAGAGGGTGAGATGTTTTGTAGTCCTAACAGACTTTCTTTTGTAGGATGACAATGCTACTTCTCCATAGGTACAGTAAGTGAACCTCGTCACCCTAGGCCAAAAGCAAGTTAGTGGAAGGAGCACCAGATGAAAATAACAGAAAAAAAGACTAAGAAAGTAAAATTAATGTAGACATCTCATCTAAGAACATGTAAGCTGCAATACATGATATTTTTGTTATTACATTGGAACACTTTAATCCATTGACTCATACACACGATAAGAAAATCGTATGAAAAATTTCCATATGAGGAACAATCTGTCGATTATCTGATTGTTAGTGTAGTGATTTTCACAGCTGATTCTGACTTTTTGGATGACAAAAAATGAGGGTGAAAGCTAGAAAGTTTTTAACGTACATGAACACAACATCATTTTGTTTAATGTGTACAGTAATCGTACGGAAATAATTGAATTAAAAAAAAATGCACATGATTAGAAGCATAGATCAACCCTACACTTCCTCTTCAATTATGCAAGTACGTAGCTACGTTTGCCTTGTGTTGGCTGCAAATTTTCTTACAAGTCAATACCATTCCGGCTGCTTCATGATACACACTTTAGTGGAAGATAGGACCATTGATCGACCAATTTTCTCATAGTGTATACTAGGCTTTCCCTAAATTCACAAACTCTTTTTAAATTGGTATTTTTTCTGTCTCTACTCAATCACACACACACCCAAGTATTGTCCTTGTGTAACCATATGGGCCCCTTTCTAAGTTGTCCAGCAAAATCTTTACAATGGAAAAGCACACAAAAAACATTTCTGTTGGAAAACTGGAGATTCTGCACTGTTGACAGCAACAGACCACAATTCTGTGTATCTCTTTTCTTTAATGCTTGGCTTATTGCTTCTAAATAGAGGGGATAAACTAGTAGAGGCATGGGACACATCTAAGGAGCTGTGTGTATCTGTAGGGGTATGGGGTACTGGAAACCCCCAAAACCAAAACTGCACACATGTTATGGCATAAGGGTGTAAATACTAACTTAAAAAAAAAGATCTTGATGAAGTGATGCTCATGGAGAGAATTTATTATACTTTATTGGATAAGATGCACTTATTTAACAGAAAATGGGAAATTTGGAGAACTCATAGGCATTTACTATATGACTAAGGACCACTCATGTTTTGATTGATTGAGTCATTTTCTTGGTAGCTGTATAGCTATGCCTACCTTTCTACCTATATTGCTCATGTACTTAATTTCTTTTCTTTTTCTTTCTTTTTTTTTGTACTTTACATGGTTGTACCATTTGAAATGTACATTACAGATGTGCCTTGTTCCTGTTGCATATTTTGTTTGATGTTGTACTGCCATTTTTCAGTCTATTTCTTGACAAAAAATAAAATAAAAATGTTTGTTAACAAAAAAAAAAAGATCTGTCACATATCCTTGATTGAGTGAAATGATTCACCTGTCCCAAATTGGTTGTAATCATTGGGATTTCCAGTAGTAGGGGACTGGATATTTTTCCTGAGGGGGGTTCATTTTCCTCAAATATAAAAATTTAGAGACACCCAGAAGAGAAGAATGAGGTGCCATGCAAACTGTGGGTGTGGCAAAATTCTACTAACAGTGAAAGGGACTTAAAACTTCAACCTGAGTATAGAGAGTACCAGGATCATAAGTATGCAATGTACAAATCACTAATGTAAAAAGTGTGTAAAATACAAACTGCAGGTGTCAACATTGGGTATTACACAGAGTGCAGGGCTCAGTTGTATGTGATACAGTGTAGGAGGATGTAGTATTTGATGACAATACTGCAAGGTTCATATGTATGTAATGTACATGTGCAGAGGTCAAAGGTATGTAATATAAATAGCACAGGGGTCAGGTGTATGTAATGTACAGAGTGTAGGTGTCAGGAGTTGGTAACACTCAAAGTGCAGGGGTCAAGTGTTTGTAACGTACAGTACATAGTGTAGGGTTCAAAGGTATGTAATATAAATAGTGCAGGGGTCAGGTGTATGTAATGTACAGAGTGTAGGTGTCAGGAGTTGGTAACACTCAAAGTGCAGGGGTCAAGTGTTTGTAACGTACAGTACATAGTGTAGGGTTCAAAGGTATGTAGTGCAGCTCAGAACACAGCATTCCTTATGATTCATTTCATTACCACCCTCCTATGTATAGCACAGTAAACATACACACGCACTCTATACATATACATATACACACTAAATACACATACACATGCACTCTATACATATACATATACACACTGGATACACACACACACATGCACTGTATACATATACATATACACACTGAATACACATACACATGCACACACAATCATGTGCCTCAGATGATATTATTGTAAATCACTGCACCAGCTCAGTCCACAGCCATCTTGCCCCAAAATAAACCAGGTGCTAGTTCAGCTCATTGCTGCAGTTTTGAGAGGCAATCATAATGGATGACTTCACACTTGTAAATGCAACTTTATTCCATCAATATAAAAGGGTAAAAACACATCCACCACGCCACAAGATAGGGAGAACTGCTAACGCATTTCCGACAAACAGTCACTTACTCATGGCATACCTGCACGTTTAAATACAAATGATAACCAGCATGTTCATTGTAAACAGCTGACCTCAAGGATGCTAATTGTTTGCAACAAATGTCAAAAAGCATCATAAAAAACTCTGATGCCTAGCCCGACACCAATGGTATGATTTAGGGGTCCGGATCCCCCTTATCCCCGCTCCATATCTTTGCCATAGTGCAGTAGCAACCAAATACATTCTTAGATATTCAGTCAATCGCTTAGTCAGAGAGATTGTCAAGAGTACAGAAAAATGTTAACAATTTGCAATTGATCTGTTTTAGTGAAAGAAAAGGAATGTGTCCTAAATGTAAGTGCATTTTTATTAAAAATGAACACATCAAGAGAAAATTAATAAAGGGTACGGGTGAGCTGGAAACCTGACACCAAAATGCCTGCATCTGTTTGCGTCTTTAGTGATTGTGTGTAAAGATCCCTAGGAATGGTGTGGGTACTGAATGTCCAGCAAAGAATTGGTTGTATAAAGGGCACAGCCGCAGGCAGAAACTGGGTTGGGTGTTTTGCCTGCAGCAAGTATTTGCCTGCTTTAGCCCCAATAAAAGATTAATTCTGAGATTTAGATAGCATCATCTAAGTGCTGCCTTTGCTATTTTCTCATTATAAAGTGTTTTTGAAGGTTATATCGATTCTAAAGTGAAGTTTTGTTTTCCGCCTGGAAGTTCTGCTTTTGAAGTTTCTTTGTGCGTGTGTTATTCATTCGAACCAAACCGTCAGTATGTGGAAGAGCGAGCGCCGGAATATCAGGTGCACTCTCCCTTGTGTTTCACAGATAACAAAATATCTCTGAAGTGTCAGGTGCTCTTCCACAATTTATAAACACCAGGAATCACAACGGTGTTACAGTAAATAGAACTTTATGGAAATGTAATTGGAATTAATTCAGGCGTCACGCAGAGCATCATTTGGCCGAGGAAAACACTAGGAAAAGTTTTCAATGAATTGCTGTAATGTTTCAGCTCAACATAAGCAAAACAAGAGTAAATAAATTTAATATTTATGTTTCATTTCCATTCTATTGATCTACATTTTTAAGTAATCCTTTCCATATTTTTTAAAGCTTCATATTGGGGTCACTTAGGAGAGTTTTTAAAGACTAATACTGATACACTGGTTTCAAATTGATAGATATTGCTGGACACATTAGCTGGGTAAACACATTTATTTATTTCAGGTACTTATATAGTGCCGTCAATTTAAATAGCGCTTTACATACATATTATACATTTACATCAGTCACTAACCCATTCCATAGATTAAGTCATTGTAAAAATATACTATATTGCCAAAAGTATTGGGATGCCTGCCTTTACACGAATGTGAACTTTAATGGCATCTTAGTCTTAGTTTGTAAGGCTCAATATTGAGTTGACCCACCCTTTGCAGCTATACCAGCTTCAGCTCTTCTGGGAAGGCTGTCCACAAGGTTTAGGAGTGTGTCTATGGGATTGTTTGACCATTGTTCCAGAAGAGCATTTGTGAGGTCAGGCACTGATGTTGGATGAGAAGGCCTGGCTTGCAGTCTCCACTCTAATTCATCCCAAAGGTGTTCTATCGAGTTGAGGTCAGGACTCTGTGCAGGCCAGTCATGTTCCTCCACCCTAAACTCGCTCATCCATGTATTTATGGACCTTGCTTTGTGCACTGGTGCGCAGTCATGTTGAAACAGGAAGGTGCCATCCTCAAACTGTTCCCACAAAGTTGGGAGTATGAAATTGTCCAAAATGTCTTGGTATGCTGACTCCTTAAGAATTCCCTTCACTGGAACTAAGGGGCCAAGCCCAACCCCTGAAAAACAACTCCACACCATAATCCCCCCTCCACTAAACTTTACACTTGGCACAATGCAGTCAGACAAGTACTGTTCTCCTGGCAACTGCCAAACCCAGACACATCCATTGGATTGCCAGACAGAAAAGCGTGATTTGTTACTCCAGAAAACACATATCCACTGCTATAGATTCTAGTGACGGCATGCTTTACACCACTGCATCGGGCGCTTTGCATTGCACTTGGTGATGTAAGGCTTGGATTTAGCTGCTCGGCTATGGAAACCCATTCCATTAAGCTCTCTATGCTCTGTTGTTGTGCTAATCTGAAGACTACACAAAGTTTGGAGGATTTTAGCTATTGACTCTGCGGACAGTTGGCGACTTCTGCGCACAGTGTGCTTCAACATGCACTGACCCTGTGCTGTCATTTTATGCAGCTTACCACATCGCGGCTGAGTTGCTGTTGTTCCCAGTTGCTTCCACTTTGTTATAATATCACTAACAGTTTACTGTGGAATATTTAGTAACAAGGAAATTTCACTGATTGACTTATTGCACAGGTGACAACCTATCACAGTACCACACTTGAATTCACTGAGCTCCTGAGAGTGACCCATTCTTTCATAAATGTTTGTAGAAGCAGTCTGCATGCCTAGGTGCTTGATTTTATACACCTGTGGCCATGGAAGTGATTGGAACACCTGAATCCAATGATTTGGAGGGGTGTCCCAATACTTTTGGCAATATAGTGTATATGCCAGATGCAGCAATAATTTAGTGTTCAGTCATGTAGCTTGCTTTTAATGTTAGGGATGAGCCAATAGGTTCAGTTCATGGTAGGTTCGACAAATATTACTGAATTTCAGGTGCTGAATAGGAATACCATTGAAGTCAATAGGAGCCGAATATTACAAAAACCATAATGGCCATTTTCTAGGCTGATAGGCAAGGGATTGTCAAACAAATAAAGTGTGTTTGTGTGTGTGTGTGTGTTGGGTGCTGGGCATTGCTCTGGGGAACATGTATTAAGACAAACCATTAAAACCTTTTGAACCAATAAAAAATGTTTGGCAGAGAGCAGTGATTTTAATAACATTTAAAGGTCAATCTTAAAAATGCTACATTTCTTTAAGTATCATACCCCTTAACCTACCTGTAAAGTTGGGCATCTGTACAATGTATATAACCTACTACAGCAAAACGGACATTTACAAAGCAAAATAATGCTGTTTAATTGCTGTCAAATTACAGCTTTGACCCCTTTACTTTTATTGTAAATGAACAGTCAGGATTACCTACATTTATACCTGATCTTTATCCTAGGGGTTTAACATAGAGAATAACAGGGTACCCTGCGCAAAAAAATGACTCCCTAAAAATACATACTTGATCCTTATCCTTAATGAAAGTCTAGTATGGCTGTCAAGGGGGACCCCAAGCAAAAACAAACACACCAAAAAAAAAATCAAGGTGTCCCCCAAAAATTATTTACCAGAACCTTTGGATCTGGAATGGATTTTAAAGGGTAAATCTGCATAAAAAATGTGTAAACAAAAACATGGGGCCCTAGCAAAAATCCACACCAGACCTTTATCCGAGCATCCTGGGAAGACAGTGACTTAAAGCTGGAGCAAAAGGGTCAGCTAGGAAACTAGCATTTGTGAAATTGAAATCCAGCAATGACAGTCCCTGTGTTTTTTCTCAGGAAAAGTTTAAAGGCTGGTGTAACAGTTTAAGACCATTTATTAACATAGGATGATTTTTGTGAACAGACACATTTTCAGATTCTATATATAATTTTATGATCAATATTCAAGTCTTTTACAATTCCCATATTTAAAGTATGTGTGAAACCTTACCTTGTAAAACAACTAATTCAGTTTAAAATAGAAATGAAAGGAAACGTTTTTGGGCAGAGCTATAGAAACAATTGAGTACTGTCCGTGATACTTTTTTTATTTGCACTAACATACAATTTTGAGGACAAGCTTTCGGGGTATGTCCCCTTCTTCAAAGTCCAAACAGTACTATTACAAATCACAAAGTTTAAGCAGAATGTTAGAAAGGATTGAAAAAAAAAAAAGGCTACAGATAAAATATATCAAAAGTGAGGGGGGGAGGGGGGGGATACTACACTCACACAGAGGGGGTCAAGCTTCAGCTAATAGTCATGAAACTGTCGGATAATGGTTGAGGAATCCCATGTCCAAGTTAAGGCCGTTATCTTTTGTGTCAAATAGAATTATCATTCTTAGTTCAAATGTTTTTCTTTCCTGGATGGATTTGAATTTTCCTTTCAGAACTAAAACATTGAGGTCTTCCATTGTGTGGCCTGGTTGTGCGAAATGGTGTCCTACAGGTGTGCAGAGGTCATCTTCTTTATGTTCCTTGATGGTATGTCTGTGCAAATTCATCCTTGTTTGCAACTTCTGTCCTGTTTCGCCAACATAAGATCCTTTGCTGCATTTTCTGCACTGGATAAGGTACACAACATTACTGGAGGTGCAGCTGTATGATCCGGAGATATTAAAGAACCCTTTTGAGTGTCTGACACTTTTTGATGGATTGATTTGGTTGCACAGCTTGCAGCGTTTCTTAGTGCAGGGTGTGCTTCCATTATTTGTGACATCATAATCAGAAGGAAGTTTCCTACTGATTAGTTTATTTCTGAGGTTGGGGGTTGTCTGAAAGCCAGTATTGGGGGTTGCTGGAATATTGCTGGAATATTTCTTTCAGAGTTCCATCCCCTGTTATGATGGGTTGTAAATCTCTGTGCAGAGCTATAAAAATTATAAATATTTATATTTTTTTCAGTGATCACATAATCTCTGCTCTCAACCACATAAAGAGCTCAGAGAGGTAGGGGTGGAGAAAAAGCAATACATTGATCTTCCCAGTGAATGGCTTTTTAAGGAGGCATTTCAGCACCGGTTGGAGACCATTGAAGGACAGGCAGGTTGTGCTCCCAGCACAGCCAAAAAAAACTGAACATGCTGCTCTGCCTGCCTGCTCAGTTTGAAATAGGAATGCAGGGGGTCTGGCAGGATTATCACGTATTTCACACAAAGAAAACAATACAAAGATACTTTTTAACACAAGGACATGGTAAGACAGACACACATCAGGAATATGAAATGCTTTAAGTGTATGTTCAAGCAAAATAACAGCAAAACATTCAGTGTACATTACATGCACATTTCCCATCCAGTGTTATGAGCCATGCTTTGTTGGACTACAGAACACCTCCTCCTCTTTTCACTGTCATAGCATAAAGGGGAAGTATTCTGTAGTCCATTAGATGAGAACTAAGACAGGCCAGACAACACTACTTTGGATTTCAATACAGAAAAAGTAAACCTGTCAGCTAAAACAGGAAGTTAGGTGCACACCAGATTTCAAGTCAATCCACAGGTATTTTATGCTTTTTTTCCCCCAGCTACACATGGTAATCATTTTAGTAGCTTTGGGCTTTTTATATATTATATATAAAAGTTGTGGCCATAATAATATAGTGTATTATGTGTTGTCTTCCTGAAACAAAAAGAGGAAATGAATTACTCTTTTATTTGTTACCCAAACTAATCAAGAGTGTTGTAAAAGAGCTCCAATTTTATGAAAACAAAAATGTAAAAAAAAAATCACAGTTGTGGTAGGTTTATAAAATAATCACTTTATTTTTTGCATGTTTTAATTGTACTTTTAATACATGACTACTATTTGAATACAACAGTTTCTTCTTATAACTGTGTTTTCCAAGGCTATCTTCAAATGGCATTTTATTTCTTAAGGGTGTGGAATGATCATCCATCTCACATAAAGAGAGCTGGTTTTAAAGGTCATTAACAGATCTGTAGAACTACTAGCTTGCCACACATCCAATTTTATCACTCTTTAGCTCAGTTTTTAAAAGGCTGTTTCTGAAGTCACATTGGAGGTTAATGCATCTCACACAGGTCCACCTTGTAAATACTAAATGTTGAACCGATGTCAACTGAGCAATAAGCAGGCAAAGTGTTAGGGGGTGAATTAGTATTACTCTAATAGAATACTACAAAAGAATAAAATGATTCAGTCTTTCTTCCCTTATGTAAACACTCATGTTGAATTTTAAAGTTTGCATGTTTTAGAATGCCCTTGTGATGTAACAGAAAATGATAGAAGTGTAGAGAGAATTGGAGAGAGCCAATTGTAATAGCGATTCAAAGCTTTATTTCTCTTCATTATCAGCTCCTGGCAACCTTATTCATTTAAAACAATAATTAACCTACAGCAATATTTCATGAAAAGAGCTAGGGCATCCTATGAACTTGCTGCATTGTTTAAATACTGTTGCAGCTAGTACTGTATTCTTTACCAGTGAATGTCAGAGCCTTCAGTGCTTTTACTCCTTGAGGGAAAAAACAATATTAAAGTATAGCTTTTTTACATAATTGTAAAGAAAGAAACATAATTAGACCTTTCAATTTATTGAATAGAAAAAAAAAATTATATAAAGCAACATAAATGTAATTTTATTTTTTACACTTAGGGACATATTAGGACCTATTTCATAAGACAAAGATGATATGCAAAAAGCAGTTACCCATTGAGCCAATTATCTTTCGCCTTTCTCCACTTTACAGTAGGCAGAAATGAAAAGTCATTTATTTATTTATTTAGTCTTATTAAAGCTCCACTGAATCACAATTTGGTGAAGAACACACCACCAGTCTATTGACTGAGGACAATGAAAGAACAGCAGTGTATGAGTGATGGGATGAGTCACCAGTTCTCTCAACTTTTAATAAGTTTTCAGAGATGTCTTGAACTTAAGCTGGTGTATCCAGATCATCTTCCATTGGGTTGCTTTGAAGGACAATGGAGCCAAGGTTTCGTATCTCAAACTCCGAGCCATATTTCTGTCTCAGCTGCAAAAATAACCCAAATGTATCAGTAGGCTGCAGATGAAGAAACCAAGTGGCAAAATGACTGCATTTTAGAAAAAAGGGATGAGTATGGTAAGATGTTCCTTTGTTAGATACTGGATCTACCTTTGAACCTTTTTTTAACATTAGGGAATTAGCTAAATTTTCTGGTTTGGAAACCTCTGCTAATAAACATTATATTCACAGCTCATGTACATTTAGGTGTGATGGTCAGTGGGAAGAAGTTCCTATGATGCACTGGGAAGAATCACCCCTTACAGATACTTAAAAAGATCATTGGTGTTAGTCAATACTTATCTGGGGCATGTTATTGCTTTTTTGCTCAAGGAACCCCCTAGCATCTTCTAGAGTGAACCCTAGGGTTCTATGGAACCTGGTTGACAAACCCTGATCAAGACACTTTCACATGTTCATATATTTATTTTAAACACAAAACAAAAAGTAAATGCAGTAACACTTCACACACTGTGGGGGAGATTTGGATAAACTGGAGCACTCAGATATCTGGTCAGCTGTGCAATGATCCCAATCATTCCTAACTTCAACTTGCTAGTTTAAGCATGGTTGACAATAGGAAAACTGGAACTGTTTGGTTTCCATGCAGAGCTGCACCAGTTTGCACACACTAGTTTTAGTAAATTTCCCCCTATGTATATTACATATTTACAACTAAAAGACACCAAATACTGCGTAATTTGTGATACATCTTTTTTTGGCAGTGGTTG